AAGGGTGTTTCCCAGTATTGTTTTCAACTCCAGAAAACCATATACTTAAAATATTTACCTTTTTCAAATTCTGTATTTATAAAACCATCATAGTTTTTAATGTAGGCACACGTTGATTTTATTGTGTTTTTGCAGACAGCATTTTTTTACAAATTGAAGGTTTGTGGCAACCTTATGTTGAGCAAGTCTGTGGTGCCATTTTTTCCAGCAGCATGTGCTCACTTTGTGTCTTCATGTCACGTTTCGGTAATTCTCATAATATTTCAAATCCCTCATTATTATTATATTCATTATGGTAATCTGTGATCAGTGATTTTTGATGTTACTGTTGTAATTTTTTCAAGGTGCCACCAACCACATCCATGTAAGGTGGTAAACTTAATCAATAAATGTTGTATGTGCCCTGATTGTTCCACTGATGGGCTATTCCGCATCTCTCTCCCTCTCTTCTGGTCTCCCTATTTTCTGAGACACAATAATACTGAAATTAGGCCAGCTGATCACCCTACAGTGGCCTCTAAGTGTTCAAGTAAAAGAAAGTGTCTACACCTCTCGCTTTAAATCAAAAGTTAGAAATGATCAAGTTTTGTGAGGAAGGGTGTCAAAAGTGGAGACAGGCTGAATGAAAGCTGGGCCTTTTGTGCCAGTTAGCCAAGTTGTGAGTGCAAGGGAAAAGTTCTTGAAGGAAATGAGAAGTGCTACTCCAGTGAACCCATGCATGATAAGCAAACAGGTTTGTTGCTGATATGGAGAAAGTGTAAGTGGCCTAGATAGAAGATCCAACCAGCCATGACATTCATCTAAGCCAAAGCCTAATTCAGAGCAAGGCCCTAACTCTCTTCAGTTCTGTGAAGACTGAGAGGGATGAGAAAGTTGCAGAAGAAAGATTGGAAGCTAGCAGAAGTTGGTTCATGAGGCTTAAGGGAAGATACTGTCTTCGTAACATAAAAGTGCAGATGAAACAGCAAGTGCTGATGGAGAAGCTGCAACAAATTCTGTAGAAGATCTAGCTGAGATTACTGATTTTCAGTGTAGATGAAATAACCTTCTATGGGAAGGAGATGCCATTTAGGACTTTCATAGGTAGAGAGAAGTCAGTGCCTGGCTTCAAAGTTTCAAAGGACAGGCTGACTTTCTTGTTAGGGGCTAATACAGCTGGTGACTTCAAGTTGAAGCCAGTTTTCATTTACCATTCTAAAAAGCCCAGGCCCTTGGGAATTATGCAAAATCTCTTCTGCCTGTGATTTACAAATGGGATAGCAAAGCCTGGATGACACCATAAATGTTGACAGCATGGTTTACTGAATAAGTCCACTGTTGAGATCTATGGTTTAGGGGAAAAGGTTCTTTTCAAAATATTAGCCTCACTGGCAATGCATCTGGTCACCTAAGAGCTCTGATGGAGAAGTACAAGGAGATGAATGGTGCTTTCATGCCTACTATTACAACATTTGTTCTGCAGCCTATGGATCAAGGTGTCATTCTGACCTTCAGGTCTTATTTAAGAAGCACATTTCATAAGGCTATATGTGGCACATGTTGTGCTTCCTTTGATGAATCTGGGCAAGTAAATTGAAAACCTTCTGGAAAGGACTCACCATTCCAGAGTCAGTAAGAACATTTATGATTCATGGAAGGAGGTCAGAGTGTCAGCATTAACAAGAGTTTGGAAGAAGTTGATTCCAACCCTCATGGATGACTTTGAGGGACTCAAGACTTTAGTGCAGGAAGTCACCATAGATGTGGTAGAAATAGCAAGAGAACTAGAATGAGAAGTGGAGCCTGAAGATATGACTGAATTGCTGCAACTTCGTGATCAAACTTGAACAAATGAGGAGTTGGTTCTAATGGAAGAGCAATGAAAATAGTTTCTTGAGATGGCATCTACTCCTGGTGAAGATGCTGTGAACATTGTTGAAATGACAACAAAGGATTTAGAGAATTCATAAACTTACTTGATAAAGTAATGGCAAGGTTTGAGAGGACTGACTCTAATTTTGAAAGGAGTTCCACTGTGAGTAAAATGCTGTTATATGGCATCATATGCTACAGAGTAGTCTTTTGTGAAAGGAAGAGTCAGTTACAGCAAACTTCATTGTTGTCTTATTTTAAGAAATCTCCACAGCCACCTCAACCTTCAGCAACCACCATGCTGATAAGTTAACACTCATCAACATCGAGGGAAGACCCTCCACCAGCAAAAATGGCTAGGACTTACCGAAGAGAAGATGATTATTAGCATATTTTTAAGCAATGAAGTATGTTTTAATTAAGGTATCTGCTTTTTCCCCCCCAGATATACTGCTGTTGCATACTTAGTGGACCACAGTATGGTGTAAACATAACTTTTATATTCACGGAGAAACCAGAAAATTCTCCAAGACTACCTTGAAAATGAAGGAACCCTTTAAATTTGTTAGTCTTCTTCAGATTTAAAGGGTTTATTCTCATTAGCAGAGATTAACTCATTGACTCACAAGTACCCTCATCCTGAAACACGAGATATCACACTTTCTTGGTTTCAAATCAAAACTGTCCCTTGTACGGTAGAATGCCAGAGAACCTTCTTAAACTTTCTGTGGCTCAGTTTTTAGTTGTGAAATGGCCTCTATCTCATAGGTTGTTAAGAGGAAGAAAGGAGATGATATACAATGCCTTTCCCTTACTCAGGTGGTGGGTAGCTTGTCCTTGAAACAGTGGCTAGCCATCGTTGTTACTTAATCAATGGGATGTTGAGATTTCCTGTTCCTCTTGATGTCCCTGGTGCCCTTTGAGTACTTTCATAATGCTCCAGTTCTTTTAATATCCACTATGTAACATATGTCCTCATTTAATGCCTTTAATGGGTTCTTAGCAACTGCAACTTGGAAGCAAAATGACAAATAGTGAGGCCAATTTTCCCATAGGCTACTGGATAGAAACAAGATTTAAGTTCCCATGGCATATTTCTGGTCACAATAACATCACCCTATTTCTAAATATAGGCCCCAGACACTTCTAATATTAAATACTGAAATAAATGTGAGCAATACATACATTAGGAACAACGAATAACAACAGTTAAGAAAATGACCCCATTTTTAGTGAATCAGTGAATGACGAGGGTCACAATGGTGGTGTTTAAATCGAGTAATAGACGTTTGTGAAGTGAGAACTGTGAGGAATCTTCCACCACCACAGAGTTGAGAAACAAGAACATGCACATGTGCTGGGCTTGTGTGTGCCGTTGTGGCACATCATTTATTGTCACATATTTGAATGATTGGCTGTCACATACTTGAGGGATTTTTGTGTTACAATAATTTGCATTCGTTCACTCATCTTCCACCCCACTTACTCTTGTGTAGGGCGGTGAGTGGCCATAGCCCATTCCAGTAACTCAGGATGCAAGGACAAGATGTCATTCCACTGCCTGTGACATACACATCACTAACTCAGATGGGGACCATTGCAACATGGTAATAAATTGAACATGCACATCTTTGGGTTGTGGACTGAGACTGAAACTCAGGCAGACGTGGGAAGAACACGTCGACTCCACATGGGCGGTGGTCCTGGCCAGGAAGCAGCCTTTCCCTCATCAACGTTATAATGAAACAACATTGTTCTAGGACCTGTTTTGTGGCCTGTCAACCCTTTCTATTATCTGTTGCCTTAACCGTCATTTTAGAAGGCTCTTTTTCACTTAAAATTGAGGACTTACTGAGTGACATGGTTTGTTTTACTGTACAGGTAACTTCTTTTTAACAGAATGTCATCTGAACCTGGGAATCCACAGAGACTGACTTTCAGTGTCATGGTGTGGCTTTCATCTGTGTTTGTTTTATGTATTAAAAAAAAGTATTACAGAAAGTCCACAGGTTTTACCTGACTACCAAAGGGGATCTTGGCACTAAAAAGGTTGAGAATCCCCAATGGAAGAATTCCCCTGTAGCGGAACATGATGAGTTGCTGATTGTCATACAGCTCTAAACACTCATCCCACTGTGAATGCTCACTGTCAACAGGTGCAGTGAGCCCAGCCAACTTCTAGAAGTTAAACATGACTAATCTTAGTTTGAGATTCTTGACTTCTCTATTTCTCAACTTTGCAAAGAAAAAATTGGCCACAATTCTAATACACGAAGAATTCTATGTGATATGCCCAGAGAAAACATGCATAGTGGAAGAGAACATAGATATTGGAGTCACAACTTGCTAATCTTTCCAAATTGTTGGTTCTTCATTTATGATGTGAAAACTATAGTGTGCATATGACCGGGTTGTGGGAGGAGATACAAAGGACACAAAATATATACAGTGTATAGCACCCAGTGTCTGGTTTATTGTGGGTACTTGCATGGACATTAGTTTCTTTTTTTTTTTTCTTCTTTTATTTTTTGAGTTGGAGTCTCACTCCGTCACCCTGACTGGAGTGCAGTGGCATGTTCCCGGCCACTGCAGCCTCGACCTGCTGGGCTCCGGCAATCCTTCCGCCTCAGCCTTCCAAGTAGCCGGAACTACAGGTGCGCGCTACCACGCCCGGCTAATTTTTTGATTTATTGTAGAGATGAGGTCTCGCCAAGTTGCCCAGGCGGGTCTCGAACCTGCGGGCTCAGGCAGTCCACTCACCTCAGCCTCCCAAAGGCGCGGGATTACAGGCTGAGCCACCGAGCCCGACTTGACATTAGTTTCTTTACTTACAACGGAAACTCAAAATGAACCTGAATTGAATTGAAGTTTGGTGGTAGGAGTGATGGTTGTGGTGGAGGTATAGGACTTAAGACTTGTAGTCATTTTCTTTTCTTTCTAGAATTGGGTTGGGTGGTTTTTGTTGAGTGGAAAATTTCTTGAAAAGAGGTAGACTTCTTTGAGAGAAAGTTGTTGCAGAAATAGTGTGAGAGAAAGCACAGGCTGAGATGTAGAAACACTACCATTGGAGTCTAGGCATTGTGAAGAGTGAATAAAGGAAATTGTACTATCACTGGACTCATGCTTTTCCTTAAGTTATCTGTTTTCAGAGCAGTGGAATTTTTCATCAGAGATAAATATGAAAAGAAGAAATACTACGATAAAAATGCTATAGCTATTACAAATGTAAGTAAAAACTTCATCTCTCATCAATTGGCGTTTGTTGAATAGGTCTCAAACTTTTAACATGCAGTACAGCTCAATTTTTTATTGAAAAACATACTAGTTACATATGTTTAAATATTCAAATATTGGAAATGTTTTAGTTGCACAGCAGAACTTTTGATTTGGAAAGGAGCACATTCTAAATGAGTATAATAAATACTTACCTGGCATTTAATTAAGTTAATTTTATGAAATTTGCAAAAAGATAAAGCCACTAATTGAAAAAAGTGGGAGATAAAATTATTTTGGTGGATTCTGGAAATGTATGAAAAAGAAACAAGGCAAATTAGTGTTGTTTAGGCTTTCTTTGGTTAGTCTGTGGAGACGTAAACACATAGCCCAGGAGTATCGTAAAGCATGTACACTGGTTGTTAGCCAGCATTTGGGTACTCCTAATGGTTGGTACCTTCCTGTAGTAATCAGGTAGTCATGCACCCTGGAACAGTGTTTCATTCAGTGACAGTCTGCACATACAACAGGGGTCCTGTAAGATTATAATACTGTATTTTTACTGAACTCTAGATTTAGGTATATTTAACATACAGATACTTACCATTATGCTGCAACTGCTGACAGTATTCAGTAAAATCATGTGTTGTACAGGTGTACAGCAGCCCAGGTATGTGGTAGGCTCTGCTATCTAGGAGTGCTCTGTGATGTTCTCACAATGATGAAATCACCTAATGATGCATTTCTCAGAACGATCCCCATTGTTGAAAGACACAGGACTATATGTTATATCAGATGTTTCTTTTTAGTTTTTTTTCCGGATTAAATTTTTCCATACCAGTTAATTATAGTCTAAGGCTAATTGCCTTTATTGTTGAAATCATTTTTTGGCCTTTGATTTCTAGATTAATAAGCAAGCTATAAACCAGTTAATCTTGTGATGAAGTCATCTGTCAAGAATTTTTGAGATAATAGTTTTCGACTCATTTTTTAATCTAAACTGGGTTTTCCTTTTTGGTCCATATGGAGAAGCAATCTACCAAAAAATCAATCAAATACTAACAAAGTAAGGATATTTTAATACATTATCTTTGACCATGAGAATACCTTATTTAAAAAGGTTTAAAGTGTCATTAATGCATATTTTAGAGCAAAGATATTCTTGTGTGTAGAGTTGGAGCTACGTTTACAGTGGGTGTAAGAGAGGAAGTCTGCTGGAAGATTAATAAAGATTGACACTATTGAGAATGATATTTATAATGTTCATAAAATTAAGACTGTTGTAAGTATTAGGGGGAAAAGGACTAATTTTAAAATGTATTTTGTGTTTTCATACGAATTGTTAAGAAATAATTTTAGCATTTTTTTATAAAACATACTGCTTTATATTAAACTCTCTCTCTTTTTTTTTTTTTTTTTTTTGAGAAAGCAGGATTTATTGAGAGGACAGAAAAGCTCCTACAGCGGGAGGGGTCCTGAAGGGGTTGCCCTTAAACTCTCTTAAAAAAAAAATCCTGGTGTTTTTGTTGTATTTCATTATATTTATATTTATAGTATTTTTTTCTTCTTGGCAATAATTAGGAAATTATTTTTATGTAGTAATGTGTAAGTCTTATTTTTTGAATGATAGCTGTTTTTATGGAAATGGGATTTTTTTCCTCCTTAGATGTGATAATGGTATGCTTCATTGTGAGAATGTCTTCATCATAGGAGATGTGTGTCGTAATAAAATGTTTAAAGATTAAGTGTCATAATATCTAACATTCATTTTTAAAAGGTTCAGTGAACCCAACCAGGTTTCTGTGTGTGTCTGTAGAGAGAAAGAGAACAAACATGGCATAATGTTAACATTTTATGAATGTTAGTGATGTTTATGGAAGTATTTATTCTACAATTTCTTTCATTTTTTTGTAGGCTTGAAAGTAAAACTTTCAAGGTAAAATTATACTTTTAAGTTTATATTACTAATGAAATGAAAATTTAGAAAAATTCAGAAAAATCACATTAACACAAGGAAATATGTAGTCCACCTGTCTTTATAAGCAAAATAATTATTAAAAATACAAGTTTATGTTATACCAAGTTTAACATATGTTTTCCTCTTTCATAGTGAACAATGTGCAAGTAACTACTCTCATATTTTAGAGAATGACATATTTTGATCCAATGTTTTGTCTTCAGTAATAGCTCATAGTGTCTTAGGACTCACAAACAAAGAACAAGACCATTGCTTTTAAACAGGTTTCCCACAGTAGAGATAGACAGGTTTAAAAAAGAAATGTGACATAAGATAAAATATATCTAAGGTATTTAAGAAATACTGTGGTACTTAAGGGGATAGCGAAGGCCAAACATTTATCATTTCTTTGTGCTGTGAACATTCAACATCTTTGAGTTTTTTGAAAGTATGTGCTAAATCATTAACCATATTCATTCTACAGTGCTGCTGAAAACTGGAAAGTATTCCTCCCATCTAGCTGTAACCTTGTATCTGTTAACCAGTCTCTCCCTCTCCTCTCCTTTCCTTATCTTTCTCAGCCTTTAATGACCACAGTTTTAGTTTTGCTTCTCTCCCACATATGAAAACGTGGTGTTTGTCTTTCTGTGCCTAACTAAATTAACATAATGGCCTCCGAATTCATTCATGTTGTGGTGAATGATAGTATTTCATTCGTTTTTTGTTTTTTTTTAATGACTGAATAGTATTCCACTGGGTATATGGACTACATTTTACAAATCTGTGCTCTATTGATGGACAGTTAGGTTGATTTCATATCTTGGTTATTGTAACTAAAGCTGCAGTAAACATGGTACTGCATGTATCTCTTCAGTATACTAATTTTTCTTTCCTGTGGATAAATACTCAGTAGTGGGATTTCTGGATTGTATGGTATTTCTATTTTTAATTTTTTGAGAAATCTTTATACTGTTTTCCATAATGGCTGTACTAATTTGCATTCCGAACAATAGTGTATCAGAATTCCATTTTCTCCACATCATTTTCAGCAGCTGTTATCTTTTAACTTTTTAATAATAACCATACTGTCTGGGGCAAGGTGATATCTCATTGTGGTGTTGATTTGCATTTCCTTGGTAATGATTGATGTTGAGCATTTTTTCATGTACTTTTTGGCCATTTGTGTATCTTCTTTTGAGAAGTGTCTATTCATTTCCTTTGCCCATTTTTAAATTGGGCTTTTTCCTTTTTTTGCTGTTGAGTTCCTTGTATATTCTGGATGTTAGTCCCTTTTCAGATGAGTGGTTTGCTAATATTTTTACCCAGTCTACAGATTGTCATTTCATACTGTTGTTTTCTTTGCTGGGCATATACTTTTTAGTTTGAAATAACCGCATTTGTGTATTTTTGGTTTTGTTGCCTATGCTTTTGAAGGGTTGTCCATAAAATCTTTGCTTAAGCCAATGTCTTAAAAGCTTCTCCTGTTTTTTCTTCTAGTAATTGTATAGTTTTTAAGTCTTCCGCTTAACTTTAACTTGTTAATCCATTTTGTGTTGGTTTTTATATATGGTGAAAGATAGGAGTCTAGTTTTATTAGTTTTGTTGTTCCACATATGGATATCCAATGTTCCCAGCACCATTTATTGAAGAGGGTATTCTGTCTTCAGTGTATGTTCTTGGTGCCTTTGTCAAAAATCAATTGGTTGTAAATATGTGGATTTATTTCTGTGTTCTTTCTTCTCTTCCATTGGCCTATGTGTCTGTTTTTATTCCAGTACTATACTATTTTGGTTATTATAATTTTGTAGCATATTTTGAAGTCAAGTAGTGTGATGCCTTCAGCTTTGTTCTCTTTGCTCAATATGGCTTTGCTATTCGTGGTCTTTTGTGGTTCCATACAGATTTTAGGATTTTTTTGTTCCATTTCTGTGAATAATGTCATTGATAGGAATTGCATTGAATCTGTAGATTGCTTTGGGTAGTATGGTCATTTTAAAAACATTAATTCTTCCAGTCCAGAGAATGAGATGTGTTTTTATTGTGATCTCTTCTCTCTCTTTTTCTCTTCTCTTCTCTTCCCCTTCCCCTTCTCCTTTCCTTCCCTACCCTTTCCTTCCCCTTCCCTACCCTTTCCTTCCCCTTCTCTTTCCCTTTCCTTTCCCTTTCTTTTCAAGTTGGAGTCTCACTCTGGTGCCCAGGCTGTAGTGCAGGGGCATGATTACAGCTCTATGCAGCCTTGACCTCCTGGGCTCAGGCAATCCTCCTGCCTTAACCTCCCAAGTAGCTGGGACTATAGACACACACCACTCTTTCAGGCTAATTTTTAAAATTTTTTGTGGGGTCAGGGTCTTGCTTTGTTGCCTTGGCTGTTTGCGAACTCCTGGGCTCAAGCAATTCTCCCAACTTGGACTTTCAAAGTGCTGGGATTACAGGCATGAGCCTCTGTGTTTGACTCTTTAGTTTTTTTCATCAGTGTGTTACAGTTTTCATTGTAAATGTCTTTTACTTCCTTGGTTAAATTTATTACTAGATTGATTTTTTTTTGTATCTATTGTAAATGAAATTGCTTTCTTGATTTCTTTTCCAGCTAGTTTGTTTTTGGTGTATAGAAACACTACTGGTTTTTGCATGTTGGTTTTGTAACCTGCAACTTCACTGAATTTGTTTATTTGGACAAGTTTTTGATGAAACTTTTAGTTTTTTCTGTATATAAAATCATGTCATCTGCATATAGGGACAGTTTTACTTTGTTTTTTTTCTATTTGTATGTTCTTTATTTTTTTCTTCTGACTAATTGCTTTGTCTAGAACTGCTAGTGCCGTGTTGAGTAAGAGTATGAAAGTGAGTATCTTGTGTTGTTCCTGTTCTTAGAATAAAGACTTTTAGCTTTTTCTCACTTAGTATCATGTTAGCTGTGGGTGTGTCATATGTAGTCTTTATTATGTTGAAGTATGTTCCTTCTGGGCCTAATTTTTTGAGAATTTTTAGCATGAAGAGAGGTTAATTTTATCAGGTTTTTTCTGCATCTGTTGAAACGATGGTATGGTTTTTGCCC